AACCTTCAGCAAAATGGGTTGACACAGTGGCTGCAACAATGGGCTTGAACATAAGAATAATTGTGGGTATTGCGCGGGACCAGGCAATGTCTTGTTCTGTTGTACAGAAGGATGCTATGAGTCAGAAGCAACTCGAAGGCACCTAACAAAAGCAACCATTTATGGGAGTCCAAAGCCTCAGCTGTCTCCCAGGGAGCGTTGGCAGCCCAACACCTATCTTCTACACCACCGGGGCACTTCTGTCCTTGGTAGACCAGCATAACAATTTCCCAAAGGTCACAGTTTTGCAAATCCTACGTTGTTATTCTTCTCCGCATACATGGAGTCATCCTAAATTGGATTCAGCTGGACCACAACTAAAAAGAACCACCACAGGCTAACTTTGGAGTAGCGGCCAAGGATGCCCTCGAAATGCCGTTCCTCCCTACGATCGCTCTGCTGCTCTTTCCAATCACCACAGATTCCCGTGGCAGCTCTCCCAGGTAATAATACTCACTCTTACAGCTTCTCCATTCCATATGAGCATTCCATTCAGCATCTTTGTGTCTCACCCAGATGTACCAGGTGCCTTTGGAATGATCTCTGTAAACTGGCTCCTTTGCAGCTCTCCCGAAGATTCCGCTTTGCCTTGTTTTTCCTGGACAGAGAAACTAGAAGTGATTCCATCACGCTGAACAGTTTTTCTGTCCCCTGGACTGTCGAGGCAATAATACTCCTATAACTGGTTTCATGCAGCTTTTTTATTTGTGCTACTCTTTGTGGCTAAGAAACTTGCAAGATCTGACTGCACCTTAAAAACCAGTGAATAAACCACGCTGGGGTATTAAATAGCTCACAAAGGAAAATCTTCATCTCTACAACAATGCAATAGCTACAGATACAATCAGAGAGGCAAAATAAGCCTCCTCTTGCAGTTCTCTGTAGCGGTGCTAGGTAGAAGCTTTGAAACGGGACTCTCCCTTGCCCAGGAAAAGAAATATTTCATTTTTATGTGATTCTTTGTCCAAATCTGTTCCTTAGAGGAACAGAACTTTATTTATTTTTCTGATAGGAAAGGTATTGACTTTCTCCCTCCTTTACATTGAAATTGTATTCTTGATCTCAGCTTTCATCTCTTCTTTGAGAAGAAGGATACATTAGTGTACAGTTTCCTCGTGCAGCAACATCTTATCACTTTACCCTCTATTCACTAGAAAGTTATGGCCTGTCTTTACTTCTCGCATTGTAACATTGAAAATGCACCAGAGTCCTTGAGTGTGTCATTTAAAACACGTGACGGTGTTTCTTGTTGATTAGACAGGAGGAAACAGAGGCACACCTATTTGCATCACCTGACCACAGAGATGTGTATCTGAATCACAGGAGATGGTTAGGAGAATTCTCCCAGCTCTCCTCACCCGAGCCTTGCAAATGTGGTTGCTTTATAGCAACCTACACAGCTTTCCGTTTACTTGGTATCACAGAGACAACCACGCAGCTGTCAAATCAAGCAGCTTATTTTAAAATAAACTTTTATAGGAGGATAAGCAAAAAAAATATTGCCACTGGGGTTTTGGTTTATACATGCACAGGTTGATACCACTCCGCCCCCACCCCACCACCCCCAAATGGGTTTAACCACGTCTCTATACTCAGTGTAGCATTATAGACCGGTTCTTTTCTTTGTCTTAGAGAGTACCTTCAAAAACGGAATACTTTTGTGCCATGGGAAAAGATGATTTTGAGGTCAGAACTAATATCAAAACTCAAATGAACAGTTCCCTAAATCACTAAAGCTTTGCAACAATTTGGGGATGTCATCTTACATGAAAGAACACTTTTTCAATGGACCAATTGTTTCATGGAAGGTCAGGAAGACCTCGAAGAGAAGCAAGCTCAAAAGGTTGGAGTGACTCTGTTTTGGAATTTCCAAGGGTAATCTTGATAGATCTTCTAAAGGACACAGGATGGTGATTGTAATATACTATGAGAATTGTTTTTAAGAAACTGGAACCCTGCATTGGTGAGAGAAAGGCTAGGAAAGATGGGCTGAGGTATTTTTTTTATCAATCATGATATGATGCATCTGCTCATTCATCAATGATAACAAATGTTTGGGTTTTTTTTTTTTAATTGAGCATTTTCTAGGGAACCCAGAAAAAGCCTGCCCTTGCTTCTTCTAATTTCTCTTGATTCTCAAAGCTCAGAGAAGACTGAACTCACTATTGAGTCTATACAAAAACTACTGTTTTGATGTGGAGTAAACGGAAGAGGTAGAATGGCTAGGGGAAGGGTTAAAAAACGCATAACTTACTGCCCTTGAGTCAACGCTGGCTCATAGCAATCGCTGTGGGTTTCCAAGACTGTGATTGTTTATAGGAGTAGAAATCCTAATCTTTCTCTCTCGGAGCTGCTGGTGATTTTGAACTACCGACCAGGCAGATCCCAGCCCAACACGTAACCACCAGGGCTCGATTTGCGGAAGGGTTAGACAGGCAGAACGACCATCTTCAGAGGTGAATCACTCCGAAGGACATGTAAAGAGACCATAGCTTTATGAACTTATACTTCTGCTTCATAAAAGTGCTTATGACGTGTAACCATATTTTCTATGTACCCTCATAAACTCACATAACAAAATAAGCTCTTCAAAGGAGCACAAGCTTACTGACCTTTCTCCTCTGATGTCATCTTCAGACGTTTGATTATGACTCCCCATCTAAAGAGAGGATACTCTATTCAACTTCTTATAGTACCGACTGTAAAAGTGGAACCATCTCAATACGAATTGTTCAGCTTCAGGTTACATATTTAAATCCTAAGGGTATCATGGAATGTGGTGTCCCTGAATTTTTAAAGACCCCTTTCAGGGAGCTTCTTCTTCAAAGAAAGTAATTGATATATGGGTATACTGTAACGCCCTTCATCCCCTGTTGCTATCTGCCATACGGTCGACCCTGAACAATGGGGTACAATGCCCAATGGCATTAGACCATTGTAACCCATAGGGTTTTCTTTAGTTCACGTTTGGAAGAAAATTACCAACCCTTTCTTACTAGTCTGTCTCAGTCTGGAAGCTCCACTGAAACAGATTCAGCACAGTAGTGATTTGCAAACCTTCACTGACAGTTGAGTGCCAGACTGGTGTAAGATACATTGGCCAGAAACGGAATTCTGGTCTCTAAATGGCAGGTGAGAATTCTGCTATGGAAACCCCACTGCTCTTATCCCTTGTCTCTTTTGTATTTTCTTTATTGTTTTAAGCCTCTTTTCTCCCATCTTAGCATCCCATTGTAGATTACATGTCTTACATATTTACTTCAAATACTTCTTTTCACAAAGCTTTTTGGTTTCTTGTATTTTGCTTCTGCCTATTAATAATAGATAAAAATTGTCATTAGGTACCTTTGAATACATAGATTCTTTTACACATTTCGTGTTGGAATTACTCTCCAATTACCAACATTCATACTCTAAAAAATTACAAAGAAAAAGCCACATTATTAAAAAAAAAGATTAGTTTCTATTTATTTACACCACAATTATATTTCTTATTCTAATCAAATGATCTTTTTTTACTTTTGCTTCAAATGTTTTTGATAGTTTATTTTTACCATTGATTTCAGAATATTGCTTAGCTGGTGACAATCCCCTTGCTAAAAGTGAGATTTGGCATTTTCAGTCTAAATCAGGCTCTTCTAAAAATTCTTTTTACCTTTAAAGCAACATCTTAATCATGTCAGTTAATTTTCAGTTAACTCATTTAATGAAATTTGCCAACTGAGATCTGCAAATTAAATTATGGTTTGTTATATATTATGTATTTAGAATGCATATGTCAATAACAAACTTTGTGTTTTTGTTAACTGTTTTTGTGGGAAATATCTCAACCCCACAGATATTCCGTAAGCAAACATTGTTATTCCTATTTTGTAGATATATATTGCTAATTAGAATTTTTAACTGATTTTCATATGGTCACATGGAAAATAAATTGCAGAGGTATTACCCCAATCTGATTTCATACTATATTTGTTCTATGATATATCAGGGTATACTTTGACTAATTTCTTTTCCATGCACTTGGATTTAAGCAAATATGAATAATAACTAATGACAGAGTAAGAACATTTCCTTCATATAATAAGATATTAACACGTAATTTATACCATATTTCATTTTTGAGTTTATCATTTCCTGTTCCATGTAAATTTTTTCTGTCTGGTTATTGATGCCCCTTACACGACTCAAGTTTTCCCATTTTTCTGGACTTGCATAAACTTATAGCGAGGCTTCCTTAGCTTTTTTGTGCATTCATACAAGTATTTCCAAACAAATCTGAAGATGGTTTAAAATACCCGCATGTTCTCTGTGGAGTTTGGGTGGGATAAGTTTTGTGGGCTGGGAGAAGTGCATTTCTGACATAGCTCTGAAGAGTGACATCGTCACTTTTGATCCCATGACAGCTTAGTGTGAATGCTCTGCCCCAATCCCCCCCCCCCTCCCCGCACTTGATCTTTCACTGAATTCTTTAAACCACAGACATGTGAAATCTCCATTTTAGTCTCTACTGGGATGATTTTCATAATTTGTCCAATAACGTTTCTCTAATAATAGTTAATGACCTCTCTGGAGAATTAGTCAACAGTGGCTGACAAAAATCTAACTAAAAATAATCTTTGTAATTATTTCTTGTTTGAATCAACTGTTTTCAGACATTTAAATTCTTTACCAATACACAGTGTTTTTTATATACAAAGATTAAAGAATATTATATGATTGCTATTGTCTCTGGGTCATTCTCATAAGCCTCGATATGACTGGTCTTCATTTATCTCTATATAGCTTTTGCATGGTTTGGGCTATTATTTAATGCCAACTTTAGTAATATGTAATAACAGCATAATTAATATCACACAGCATATGTACATCAAGTTCAACATCATAGAAAATGTATTAATGAAAAGATAATATGGTATACATTTCTTCATAATATTGATTCAAATTCCTAAAATTTTTTTAAGTGTCAGTAGTGGAACAATCCACCCTTTATACTTGCAAAGGGTGAACAGAAAGCTATGATATTTCTCTAAGACACTTATAAAGAGTTATTTTCACCTTGAGAAGAAACTGAAGAATAATAAATGCCCACTATCAAATTCCTAAAATTTGAGCTATTTATTAATTTCCCTCAGTCACTTACCAACTCATTAGGAATCCATTACTTTTCACCAAAAAGACTACTGAAAACTAAATTTTCCAATAGTGTGTGTGTATGTGTGTGTGTGTGTGTGTGTGTGTGTGTGTGTGTGAATGTGTGTCTCTGTATTATATAAACTTTACTTGAAGCAAACACAGCCCTTTCTCTTTGGCCCTACTCCCTTCATCAGTTCTGTTACACACTAAGATTTGACACACAAGATTTTCGTGACTTGTGAATTCTACACTATTTCTGTGGTCCATCTTGCCTCTTCAGTTCAAAGAATCCAGTTTCTGCCAAAAGTCATTTTGCTGTGTTGATTATTGCAGATATTGAATTCCCAACTTTGCTCAGCATCCTTCTCACCAGTCCTCTCATTTCCCCAACCACTCTTTGCACGGTGTGGATGAATGGTATCACAAACAGAACAACTGCTCAACATAATTGTTACGTCGTTACTCACAAACCAAGAAATATCACCTTGGGAGCTTCTGTTGTAAGGAACGCAAACCCCTGCAAAGCAGCTTAGATAAAGAGGACAGCATATGAGGATGAAGGGTGCTTCATGGGACCGAACACAAGAAGTATGACCATCATCTATATACACTAGAACCACAGCAAAGGCAGAAACAGAGATTCCAGCTGTCTTTGCTCAGTGCTTCCAGTGCATAACATGACCATACGACATAATCTTAATCACGTCCAAACTCTAGTATATTTTCATCACAAACCACCAACAAAGAATCTGAATGACCCAAATTAGAGACCTTTTTCCTTAGATCAGTCAGCCCTGCTGGAGTGGCTTGATCACAGATTATCAATTATACCTGAGGCTGAGCTCCCATCAGAACACTGCAGAAAAAAATTATGTCAAATCTTATTTTAATTTGTTTATTTTAAATATTTTTCAGATAAAATATACAGCTACGCCAATGACTACATTCCAAGGTAAGTTGAAATTGGGTCCTGCAGTACAATTCTCAAGTAACACAGGAAAATACCAGATGCTATCTTGCTTTTATAACAGCTCTTTGGCACTGTGGTTTAAGCATTGGGCTGCTAACTGTAAGGTTGGTGATTCAAACCCCCTAGTTGCTTCCTGGGAGAGAGATGAAGCTGTCTGCTCCTGTGAAGATTTATCATCTCAAAACCTATATAAGGGCCTCTATGAGGTGAAGTTCACTTAATGTCAGTGTCTTTGTTTGGGTTTGGCTCACCTTGCTTTTTGGGAGCCCTAGAAGGATTAAGGACTTGGCACCTAAGCCAAAGGGCAGACATTCTAAATCATTTAGCAGCTCAATGAGTAAACAATATGTGGCAATCTGCTCCTCTAAAGATTATTATTATTTGTTGTTGTTGTTAGATGCCATCGAGTAGGGTTTGTCTCCTAGTAATCTTATGCATGAAGGTAAGTAAAAACATAAGCCCATCTGTGGATAATGGAACATCCCCCAACAGAGGAGTTGCAGGGAGGGATGAGTCAATCAGGGTGCAGTAGAGCATTGATGGATCACACAAATTACCTCTGATCCCTTGGGGCTTCCTCACCCCCCACCCCCCACTATCGTGACCCCAGTGCTGCTTCCCACACTGGACTAGACAGGAGCATGTACATAAGTATAGGCAAAAGATAAAACTCATGACACATGGAACCCAGGAACAGAATTGGAAATAGCAATACCAAAAGGGTAGGGGGGAGGAGGAGGGATGGGGAGAGAGGGGCTACTGATCACAATGAATGGCACATAACCACACACACCCCATCCAGGGGGAAGAACAGCAGAAAGCAGAGGGGAAGGGAGGCAGCAGTTGGTGTGAGATTTGAAGATAATAACAATCTATAATCTCTCAAGGGGCCACGAGGGTTGGGGAGGGGGAAGGCTGGCGGGGGAGAAAAAGGAGCTGATCCCAAGGGCTCAATGGAAAGTAAACATAGAAAGAACAATGGCAATATTTGTACAAATATATCGGATACAATTGTAAGAGTTGCAAGAGCCTCCAATGAAATGATTTAAAAAATAGAATAACTCTATACAAATGGAGGGCTACAAGATCATTATTGTTGATAGGCTCTATCAAGTGCGCTGTGAACACATGGATGAAAAATGAACCACTACCCGGTCCTGCGCCATCATCACAATTTGTGTTCCTTTTTGAGCCCATAATTGCAGCCACTTTGTCAATCCAGCTGGAGAGGGTCATTATCTTTCCTCATGAACCCTCCACTCTACTAAGCATGTTGTCCTAATACGTCCAAAGGATGTGAGACAAAAATCTCACCATCTTTGTTTCTAAGGTTCATCCTGACTAAAGTTTGTCCAAGATAGATTTGTGTGGTTTCTGGCAGTTGATAATACTTCACATATTTCTTGCCTACACCTTAATTGTGATATATCAGTTATTCATGGGTTTTCCTTACTCACTGTCCAACTTTTATGTGCATATGAAACAATTGGAAATACAATGACTTGGTCGCATACTTTGAGGTGCTAACTGCAAGGTCAGTTGCTCAAAATCAGCCACTCTGCAGGAAAAAAGGGGGGCTTTCTACTCCCACAAAGAATTACAGTCTCGGGAACTCACAGAGGCAGTTCTACCTCGTCGAATAGGGTCACGAGGAGTCAGCATTGGCTCGGTGACAGTGAAAGAGAGGGAGACCAAGACAATAGAGAACTCTTAGGAAGTAGATTTGCTGCCCTAATGCATTATGTTCTTTGATTTCTTCACTACTGTATGCATTCTCCCTTTCCCACGCAAATGACTGCTATTGGTCTCTGTACATGTTCTACATGAGTACAATGAAGTCTTCTGGAATTCTTAATCTTTACAGTGTGTTTCTAGAATGATATCCCTGTTCCAAGTCCTCTTTTGCTAAAGTCAGATAGATCTTGGCTAAACAGAGAATTCCAGAAAGGGTTTCACTTGTATTTTATTGGCTACATGAAGGCATTCAACTATGTGAATCATAAAAAACAATATATAACATTGTAAAGAATACGAGTATATAGAATATCGATATATAGTCTGTATTTATAGGGGTGAGTGAGTAGTAGGATAGGATAGTGGGTTTTGGGTTCAGCTGCTAATCATAAGATCATTAGTTCAAATGTACCAGTTGTTCCATAGAAGAAAGCTGAGGCTTTGAGCTCACATAGAGTTTTACAGCCTTGGAAGCTCATCGGGGAAGCTCTACTTTGTCCTATTGCTATAAGTCAGAATTAACTCAGGGAATCCAGGGCCAATGATCCCTTCAGGACCAGTGGTGTGAGTGGCGATACTGGGAGGGTAGAGGGAGGGTGGATTGGAAAGGGGGAACCAATTACAAGGATCTATATGTGACCTCCTCCCTGGGGGATGGACAACAGAAAAGTGGTTGAAGGGAGACGTTGGACAGGGCAAGATATGACAAAATAATAATTTATAAAATATCAGGGGTTCATGAGGGAGGAGGAGTAGGGAGGGAGGGGGGAAAATGAGGAGCTGATGCCAGGGGCTTAAGTGGAGAGCAAATGTTTTGAGACTGAGGAGAGCAATGAATGTACAAATGTGCTTTACACAATTAATGGATGTATGGATTATGATGAGTTGTATGAGCCCCTAATAAAATGATTAAAAAAATCAGTGTGTCAGGGTTGTATCCTTTCACATATTTATTTAATCTGTATGCTGAGCAAATAATCTACGAAGTTATCTATATGAAGCAGAATTTGGCTTCAAGATTCGAGAAGAGTCTTTAACAACTTGTCACATTCAGATAATATAATTTTAATTGCTGAAAGTGAAGAGGATGTGAATTATTTGCCGATGAAGATCAAAAATCACAGCTTTCAGTATAGAGTATTCCACACTGTAAAGAAAACTAACATTCTCACAATCAATCAACAGCATTATGATGAACTAAGAAAAGATTCAAGTTGTCACGGATTTAATTTTACCGGGATCAACAATCAATGCCTATAGCATCAGCAACCTGAGAAAATCTTCAGGACATCTTGGGCCAAAGATTTCTTTAAAGTATCACTTTGAGGGCTAACGTGAATCTGACGCAAGCAAAAGTATTGTCAATGCCGCCCTCTGGACAATGAGTAAGGATGACTAAAGAACTGAGGATTTGCACTGTGATGTTGGTCCATGGACCGACAGGAGAATGAATAGCTCTATCTTGGAAGATATTCACCTAGAATGATTCTTAAAAGGAACAATCGTAAAATTTCTCCTGTGCTTCTGACTTATCAGAAGAGATGAGTTTCTGCAGAAGGGCATCATGGTTAGTAAAACAGAGGGTCAGGGAAAAAGAGGATTTTAATGAGATGAAATGACAAAGCGTATACCACTCTCACTGCCATTGCATTGTGGCTGACTCTTAGGGACCCTAGAGGACAGGGTGGCACTGCCCCTGTCAGTTTCCAGGACTGATTCGTTATGGGAGTAGAAGATGCCATTTTCTTCCTCGGAGAGGGGCTGGTGGTTTAAACTGCTGACTTTTCAGATCACAGCCCAACGCGCAGCCGCCAGGGCTCCTGAGAATATACCCAATGGGGTCTAACAAAGCAAGGCTTGTGAAGATAGTTTAGAACCAGGAAGTGTTTCTTGCTGTCATACATCCTATTGCTATGAGTTGAAACTGACTGAAGGTTACCTAAGAACAAGAATATCACTGTGGAGGAATTCTGTTTGGGCACTGGGTGTTTTTGAGGCCGTATCGTTGTGCTGTTGTGTGCTATGGTGTTGATTCCCACTGGCAGTGACGATGGGACTTCCCTGTGTGATTCCTACTTTGAAATCTTTAAGGAAACAGTTACTAGGCCTCTGCTCTCATGGAGTCATTAGTGGGTTTCAACCATAGGTCCTTATATGATCAACTGATGGTTTAGATTAGTTCATCAGCCTAGAAAACATTGCTATTGCATCCATTCCAACTCATCACAAGCCTTTAAGACCAAGTGGAACGGCCCTATAGGATCTGTAATCCAAATCTGCGATCTTACGGAAAGGGGCCCTGCTGGTACAGCATTTAACTACAAGGATGGAGGTTTGAATGCATTGGATGGACGGAGGGAGAAAGATGTGGCAGTCAACTCCCATAACCATTACAGTCTCGGCTTCACCATATGGTAGCTCTCCTCTGTCTTATGGGGCCCTGTGAGTCTGAACTGATTTCATGGCACACAACAACAATCTTCATGGAAGCAGTGTGGTACATTTCTCTCACCACATTTTCAAACCCATCCATGGAGTGGCTGATGGATTTGAATCAATGGACATTCCAATTAGCAGCTGAGCACTTAACCACTGCACCACCAGGGCTCTCCGTGCATCACATGTCCTCCTATCAGTGTATGGTATGTTTTACACCAGTCACTTCTGATATTGAAAAAGAGCAGATTAGGTCCAGAAGCAAGGAGTCACAGATGGGGGAAGATATGTATACATGCCAGTCCATCCCAAGGAGCCGAGATACTGAAGCTGAAAAGAGACAGCCATCACCCCTGAAAGCTACACAGAAAGAAAGAATTCCACCAGAACCAGAGAACTGAATTCAGACTTCTACCTTCCTAGTTTGTTTTTGTTTTAAATGTATTTCTAATCATTAAAGTACCAACTTGTAGTATTTCTGTTATAGCATCACTCAGAAACGAAGATATCTTTTCAGATATGTTCAAAGAAATGGAATTTGGTTGGGCCTAAAACTCAGAAGTGTAATAGGTTCTCAGATAGGAACTCATTTACTCCTATTTTAAATTAAAATTCTGAATCGAGCACTGCCACATATTTATGCTTGAAGAGTACTGGATATTTGCAATAGACCATCACCATCTGCCATTGTTAAGGGGAAAAAAAGAATTTGTTGGTTTGGCAATAGCTCTTGAATAATAGTTTATTTCAGATGATTAATCATTTGAGACCTGCCTGTAGACACAGGGCACAGCATTATAAATCACATCTTATTTTCATTCACAGGGAATAAAATGAGGTTAATTTTTTGGACATGATTTATCATTTGCAGGGTGTAGCTGGTATCTATATGGGCTAGGGAAGTGAATGGATTGTCTTATTAAAAATTCCTCACCTATTACTGCATCGCTAGAGGAAACACCAGGAGCAGACTCTATCCCGGTATTAAGCTGTGTTGAGTTAATGAGGGAAGAAAAGCTCACAGATGAGTCCTTTGGTATCAGATAAGTAAAACACATGCCAGTAGCTGGGACTTTCTAACCATTTCATCCAGGTATCATTTGATCTGCTCCTTTTTTTTTTTTAAGGACACCTGCTTACCACGTCTAGATTCTGTGTCCTCTTTCAGACACATGGAGTGTAATAGAGGTGTTATGCTTTGAGATAAGAGTCCTTTTTTCTTTTCATCGAATTCCCATTTGCTCTTGGCGATATGTCATCTCAGAGTTAAAGCAGCTGGTCCCATTTCATGAAATGCCACTCTTTCTGTCTGACATGTTTCTTTGTTCCTACACAGTCATTGTGAAATCTGGTTACTGAGACCATTAGAACTCTCTGGTAACAATGGCAGGATGTCTCCTCTAATCCTGGTAGACTCACTAAAATGAAGCTAGAAAGGCATTTAATCAAATGGTCAGAACAAATAGTTATGAATTCTCATCAGTTCTCCCAATCGAGGGTGGTTAACATTGTGTTGTCTTCTAGACCATTCCGCCAGAGTCCTTGGCTTGTGCCACCTGACTTCCTGGTGTGGTGGACGGAGGCCAGGGGTGCGGGGTCAGACTTGTGTCACAGCCCTGCTGCTGCTGCTGTGCTGGCTGAGCCAACAAACACTCCTCATTAAAGCCGGTGCAGTGTGGGTCAGTCCGGACTTTAATGAACCTCTAGGAGTTGCAAATCTCTCATCTGCACAATAGAGATAAGAATATTTCCCTAAGAATAAGATATACATCTCACAGGGTAGTTATGAGAATCCAGTGAACAACTGAACTTGGGAAGGAGCAACGGTTTCATGTGTAGTCTTATTACTGATGTTCCCATTACATCTAGGGCTAGAAAAAATAAATTAGTCTATCTGAGTCTCAGGCTCTCATCTATAAAGTGAGGACTAAGAATGCAATTTTTGCACCATTTCCCTGGACTCTTGATATAACACATGCAAAATACAAGCATAGCTATAAGTCCTAAGAGGTGATCACTAATTTTCTCACATCTCCTGTGCTAAGTCTATGCGATTTTTTTCAGCCTTTTATTTTTCATTATTTATTATTCACTTATTAAATAGTTTAATGATACTCTGGATCAACAAAGTGTGTATAGCCAAGAACACAGACCATCTAAGCTCTAATCCCAGCTCTGTCACTTACAGTTTTCTGACCTTCAACGAGGTACTTAACCTTGCTATGTGTCAGATTAATTACCTGTTAAATGTCTACCAGATGGAGATGTTGTGAGGATTAAATGAACACATATATTGAATGTATTTCAACAGTCTAACATTTAGTAAGGGCTGAATAAGTATTTGTTATTATCATGAACTAAAACAAGGTCCAAGAGACCAGATTTTTCAAGTTCACAGATCCACATGTATACACACGAACTCCCTCACCCATAAACATCTAAAGAAACCTGAAAAAGAGTAGGCAGTAGTTCACTGAATATCATATCTAGTTAAGACAGTGGCTATAAAGTGAATTCTAATACTTTATAAATTCCTTTTTACTCTTATAGGGATGATGAATATTATATAGAAGACACACCAATTTATGGTAATTTGGAGGATGTGGTCCCAGGTAAGTTTTCTTTTCCATAAGTTAAATGTTTCAATATATTAAGTAATAAGCCACTTTATTTGACAAAGAATTTTCAAGTAGCTTATTTTTTGTCATAATTACACTTGGCTAGTCCAATTGTAACCATAAATTTAAAAGACGTTAAAGTCCCTTAGTATATATTTCCAAACAGCATATTGTAAACAGTATTGCAATGTTCAGCGTAAATCAACATCCTGTTTTTCTGTATTATCATCATTTTACTCTGGTAGTAGGGAGGCTACAGAAAGATTCAATTACCACGAAATTTAGCAAGCCGAATTCTATGAAATAAAGCTATTTCTAGAACAGAAAATGGTCCACAGAAATAGTGCTTTGTGCTCTACATACAAAAGCAGATAATCTGGAACAATGAGCACTCTCTCTGATTTCCTTGCTTTCATGCCTTCTTTCTGCATAGACAGCCTGGGGCTGGTTGGATGGCAGGTGGGAGGAAAGAAGAGAGCTAAATAATAACTGAGCGATTTAAACACTTTTTATTGTTGTTCTTATGAACAGGTACTCTTCAATTCTAGCATGTTTTCTTGCTTGATGCATCCCCACCAACTGAAAACAAAACCTCTCTAAATATCTAACAACAGACAATCCAGCCTAAGTGTTATTTATTCATGGGCTCTTTCCTTGCCAATTTTCTTCCCTTAATTTGTGGTAGGAGATTTGGTTAATTCTTGTTCATTTCTAGGACTCTTGCCCAGGGACTTCTAGTAATGTACTAACTTTACCTAAATATCTTTTTATTAAAGTAGTAAGACATTCTAAAATCGGGAATGGGGACAATTTACTTTTAGAATTCCAGAGTTCTTTAATTTTTGTCTTTCTCTCTTTTCCACTACATTATCGAGACTAAACCCCAAGTCTCTGCATCCTAAGTAAACAGAAGCTATTTTCAGGAACCTTCTATTAAAAGTAATGTGCCTTGCTGTTGTACGTTGCAGAATTTGGGTGGCAACATGTAACATCTGAGGATGTGTATATTCTCATGTATTTCAGTCACTTGAACCCCACCAGATCTGTAATTCCCATTCCCAAGGAGGCATGGGCATTACCCTGCAGATATTAATTTAGTAGACCCAGACTATTGTTAATTGCCAGCAAATCCAGTCTGACTCATGGTGACTCCATTTGTACAATGAAGAGCTATCCCACGATGTTTTCAGGGCGGTGACCCTGTGGGAGTCTCTCACCAGGTCTGTATTCAGAGCTGTGTCTGGGTGATTTCAAACTAACAACTAGTATCTGGGCATCTGCTGTTCAATCACCTTCCAGGTGGTTCTGATGTGGGTGTTACATACTTTGAGGAATACCACTTTATAGACCTTTACTTTGTGTTGCTTTCTAGGAAGGGTAAATATAACTCTTTTGTTCCCCTGTAGGATTTAAGTGGTACAACCCACTTTCCTACTAGGCTACTGACCATGCTGCGAGTCACCATTTACCTTTTCTCTTCCTTTTCAAGTAAGAGGCAATGCAAAGGCCTCATAAGAGTCAGTAAGTGTGACCCCACATGATGAACTTGGTGCAGGCCTGCTGGCTCTTGGATCCTGCAAAAGAGTCCCAAATCCTTAAAACCAGCATTGCACAAGCCCAGCTCCTTAGAGCAGTCTGGCCAAGCTGTCCTCGAACCCTGGGCAAATTCATCATCTCAGTTCTCTTACTATCAGATGGAATGTAGGGTTGAAAATTCTTCTGATAAAAACTTCCTGCTTCAAGAATAAATGACCCAATTGTGACAATGGCCGTATATGTAATGTGTTTCATGTTACACGGGCTATCGGCAATCATACCTAAGCAGTAGGGAACACAGGCAGTTCTTCAACTCAGGGATCTCTATAACTTCGAATGGCAGTTCCTTAACGTTACAGGATCCCTGTAACATCTCATCTGTATAACAGTACCATGTTCTGCAACGAGCTGGAAAAATAAATATGATCCAGTCCTTTTCTGAAAGGTCTCCTTTGTTTTTGGTGGTTATATTAAAGCTGTGGGTCAAAAGACTTCTCCACCATCTGACCTGCAGAAAGCAGCTTGGGATTCCCCACCACTTTGCCTCTCCACTATCACGTGATTCTTTGGGGCCTCATATCTGTCATTAAATGTTGTCTAAATCATGTATTATTTGTACCCGTCTTCATTTCCCCATTGTGAAATTGTTATCTTTCTAATTTTGAAGTACCAACAGATGAAAATTGCTATGAACAAATGAAATCCCAACCACAGAGGTCTATGAATAAACTTCAAGAAGCTACCCCATATGTACAGGTATGTTTTATTTTCTGTTTCAAGGGTCAAATTCAGCCTACCCCTAGATAAAATCACCTTTCAAGAGCATGAAAGCATCAAAATCTGATGCAATATCTGAAGCAGTTACGGATTTTATGTTCTGAATCGGGTGTCAAATTCTGAAACCTGATTGCTATAGGGGGAGTGGAGTATATTCTGAAATAATGAATTAAGTTATTTCTTTCAAGTGGAAAAATGTATGTGATTCACAAAGATAAATATAAAAATCGACACATTTAATATTCACAAGGCCTAGGAATTTGAAGGTGAGCAAGTGAGATAGAGAGAGAGGGGGAAGAAGGGGAGAACAGGAGAGCAGAGGAGAGACCAGGAATGTTTTACAAGAAATTAGCTAGATAGAAAATGTCAAATCCTTATGTTAAAAGACAAATGGGTGCACATTTCTTTAAATCAATTTATTGGGGCTCATACAATTTATCGCAATACATAGATCAATTGTGTAAAGCACACTTATACATTTGTTGCCCTCATTATTCCCAAAATTCGCTTTCCTCTTGGGTTCCCAGAATCAGCTCATTTTCCTTTTTCCCCTCCCCCTTCCTTCACCCTCCCCCCTCCCCCATGAACCCTTGATAATTTATAAATTATTATTATATCATATATTACACTGCCCGGCGTCTCCCTTCACCTACCCCTCTGCTGCCCATCCCCCAGAGAGGAGGTTATATGTAGATCCCTGTGATCAATTCCCCCTTTCTACACCCCCCTTCCCTCCTGGTATCGCCACTGTCACCCCTGGTCCTGAGGGGTTCATCTATCCTAGATTCCCAGCGTTTCCAATTCCCATCTGTACCGCTGTGCATCCTCTGGTCTAACCAGGCCTGCAAGGCAGAATTGGGGTCATGGTAGTTGCGGGGAGGAAGCGTTTAAGAACTAGAGGAAGGTTGTGGGTTTCATTATTGCTATACTGAACCCTAAGTGACTCATCTCCCCACTACCACTCTGCAAGGTATGTCCAGTTGTCTAGAGATGGGCATTGGGTCTCCATCACGCGCCACCCTCATTGACGAGGATATGATCCCCCCCCCACCTTTGGTGCACATTTTAATACAAGTTTCATATCTGTAGTCTTAAGGCTAGAACATATGAAGTACATTTGGGGATCAACTAATGGCTATTGAATTGATTCAGACTCATGGTAACTCTATGTGTGTCCTAGTAGAATTGTGGGTCATACGGTTTCCAAAGAATGCTTTTTCAGGAGTTAGATCACCAGGCCTTTTGGCTGAGTGGATTCTGGGTAGACTCAAACCACCCAGCTTTCTCTTAGCAGCCAGGCACATTGACCATTTGCACCACCCACAGATTCCTATGTGGGAACCGGCAGGACAAAACCGTGAGTGGAAATACGAAAACCCAAGAAGAAATGCCTAGTTTCTTCCCCTACCATAATCAGCATAACTTCTTAGACGACAGTACTGATTTCGTTAAAGCCATTCAAAGTCCTCGCCGATAAGTTACTGTTGCATACACATTTGAGTTAAAATGGCTCCTCTTCTTTTTCCTCCCAGATCTCTCCTTTTAATTGTGTCAGCTTTCCTTAGTCTAGAAATAGTAGAAGAGTCAACAATTCCTGAGCAGTCATTGTATGTCAGTCACTGTATCAGGTGCCTCGCTATGTTGTTCTATAAAAGTTATGTAGATTATGTCTAAGAGATAAATAACTTATCTAGAAAACCCAGGCAGGGAGACATATGTCCTTGTAGCAGAATGGGTTAAGCATTGGCCTGCTTATCTCACGTTCAGGGGTCAAACCCATGAGCCAATCATTGGGCACAAGGCGGAGGGTGAAGCTGTCAGCTTCCTAAATATTTGATAATCTTGGGAACTCTATAAAGCAGTTCTACTGTGTCCTTTAGGGTTTCTCTAAGTCAAAATCAACTCTGCTCGTGGCAGGCTGTTTTCTTTTTGAGATGGATAAACAGAATCCAAACTTAGACCTAACTGCAGGCAATGTTCTCTTCCCAAAGATAGGTCACACCATGGACATTGCCCGTGATGGTTGTTTTCTTAAATCTAATCTTGTACGAAATCTGACCTCTTGAAACCCAGATGTCATAAGGTTTAATCAAAGTGTATAGTCCTTCGGTGATAGGCAAATCTGTTGTCTGCTCAGTTACTTGTGAAATATGTTTTTAGCCAAAATGAATGGGAAGAATTGCATGACATCATATGATATGCCAAATCTGTGACTACAAAGAAAGCCTACCAAAGAAGATTAATAAAATCACACCCTCTGAGATGATGGGATTCACAGTGACTTAGTTGTGAAAGAAGTGAGCTTATTGAATAGAAGCTATTGTTTAATGTATGTGGATTGTGCAGACCGGCTTCACTTGAGCTGCAGCTGGTGTTTAATCAAGTAGAAATGTTGTAAAGGCTGTGATTTTAGAAATTGTATATTTAAATATACTATTAGGAAGATTGGTCTTTATCCTACAACATTATGTTCTTTTCACAAATTTAATTTCATAAAGTACAAATACTCTATAGTTGCTTAATCCCATTTGATCAAAATAATCATGATCAAGAACAGTATAGATTTGTTACTACGATGCTTACTTTGATGTTTTAGTCAATTACAAGAACATTGGGAATCTACAACATGTAGATCGATCCATAAAGTGCTTATTCATTGAAAAAAACGTTTTAAAAAAGCTCCTTTCCCATTGAAAATTATGTGTATGGTTGATAAGTTGACATTTTAGTATCTCAGTCTACTACAAATATTAAATAGATTTAAACAGAGACTCTAGTAATACAATGAGGGTTCACAAGAGTGCCAACATTCTAAAATAATATAGGGGCACTAGTGTGAGCCTTCTCACTTTCCCCTATCCCTATGTCAAATATTCTAATCAATCTTCCCTATTACACCTCTTGTATCAACAGCATTCTTTCTGTCTTATAAAGCTGATGCTCCTACACTTGGCCCAGTCCATATTTCCTGATTCATTTAGGATCTTGTATCCTCAACTATTTAATGTTTATATATTAATTTTTTTCTTTTAATGCATATTATAATTTGTCTAAGATAAGCACCGATCTCCTCAACATTTAAAGCAAAACATCAAAACCTCCTTTAACCATATTTCTAACGAATGAACTAGTGTTCACCTTCTTTTATTGTTTTCAATTCTTTCCATCAGTACACATTTCTTTACCTCTGGAAATAATGTCTTCTACCCAGCTACTCAACTGAAATCACCCCCCTAGAAGTTGGTAGAGACAATCCAATTTCCGGTCCTTTCTCAGGACGACTCTTTGAACTCTCTAGTCCTTGCTGAAATTGATCCACTCTAGACTACATATGAAGTATCTAGAATGCTCTCCCTTAAAAGTGCAGAACCTTCTTTAAACCATTTTCCATAAAGGGGAACTTCGTGGCTCATGAAATTGGGAGACCTAAGGGCGTATTTTGATTTGGGGATGATTGATCCTGGAGACAATCTCTAGACAATCTCCTCCCTATTTCTCTGTTGCTGAATTTATTCTTTTTCTAATAACGTTTTCCTCCATATACAAACCATTGACAGTCCCAGATTTTCATCCTTCCACCACACAACTCGAGGGAATAGTAGCTTCTCTATTCCTGAATCTGCATTTTTATCCTACAGACATCTAATTAAAACCAGCAAACAAAACAGTTGCTGTTGGGCTGGTTCTGCCACATTAGAACTCTTCTTTATGGGATGTTTTCTGAAGTAACTCACTGGGAATTTTTTTGAGGTAGGTGGACTCAAAATTCCGACTTCTCATTAACCAACTGAGCACGTTAACGGTGTACATCATCCAGGAGTTGTCCTCTAATTTGTTTTGCTTAAATCACACATCTACTCTTGGACTATCTGCTGCCAAGAGTGCGGGTTTTACAACTAGTCCAGGTCACTTGCCCAGGCCTGCCTGGGTTGGAGCAACAGCAGTAATTGACTGCCTCTCTCGGACCGCATGGAGAAGAGAAATGTTCCAGAGGAAAAACCAGAGGGGTGGGACAAAGTGCAGGAAAGTCAACAAAGTTATCACCCCTTCTATTCTGAGAGACTTCTTTTGTTTTGAATGTCACTGGCATCCCTCTCTGAGCAAAGGAAAAACAAATAAAAGCATGAGGTGTTCAGAAAGCAGCCGTTTGTCCAATTTACCTAGAAAACAGATTTAGGCAGGGAGAAATGGGATTAAAAATTGAAAAGGTAGAAGACTGTTAAATATGGGAAACCTTGGATAGTGGGAGTCAGATGTTAGTTTATAGGCTAAGTATTATAGGAAGACAATGAAACTATCAAAGTTCTTAAGAAAAAATGTAAAGACACTGTAGAGAATTAATGACAGAGGGAATGGGTTGGGGCAAAAAGACTGGCTAGGCAACTATTGTAATTTTACAGAAATGATTATTTTAGGAATAAATCATCAGTCAAATGTACCTGAGAGATTGTAAATAGGCATTACATATGCCCAGTCTAAAATATATAGTATTCAATTCTACCGTGGAAATGAGCATCAGTAAGAAGATATTTAGCATTGCATTATGTATTATGTTAATACAGTGCTATTTCTTCATTGCACTCCCCATCTCTTGACAAATGATAATAATTTCACCTTGGTTTAAACATAAAACCTTTATGTAGATATATTAAATCTATTCTGTGACCATCTTAAAGTTTTAGTCTACAACTTTTAACAATTAGAATACCACCTTACTTTTGGCAACATTTATAACTTTCCTACCACCTCTGTTTTATAATAATAACAGCATTGTGAGATAGGTATTAATACTCATATCCTACAGTCAAGAAAACAAAAACTCAGAACAGCTTTTAAACACTGGCCAAAGCCCGGTGGCCCCATGGTGTGTGTTTGGCATAGAACTGAGATTCAATCCTAAATCCCTCAGCACAAAGTAAAGGCCTTGTTTCCAGGCCTGTTCGATTCCAGAGTCTCCTTAGTGTCTTGTCTTCTTAAACTGGTATTGACTCAGCATAATGCAGGAAGGAGTTCAGTGCACCCTGGTGGCACAAAGGTTAAGTGATCATTTGCTAACTGAAAGATTGGTGGTTCAAACCTACCAAACAGCTCCTTGAGACAAAGTCTTAACAGTCTGCTTTCATAAAGATTGTCATCAGAAAACCCTATGAAGCCATTCTGTTCTGTCACACTGGGCCACTGTCATAGGGGTATACTAGAGAGCCCTCAACCACAACAGAGCCGAGGGAGCCACCAGACACTCTTAGGTATGTAAATGGGTGTCTCCACGGTCAACCTAAAATGAGTTCCAAAGGACTACGAGGGCAGACAAGCAAGAAGGAAATACGAGGGAAAGGTGTGGAATTTAAGGATCTGCTATCTATATGCCAGTCATGTTAGCGAACACTGTCATATTTATCATTCTGGATCTCTAAAAGTGTATACAAAGTGAGGACTTTTATAGGTACCCAAAAAATGACCATTTACTAAGCTTATGTAAAATAGATACTGTGTTCGTAAAATTCCATCCTACGATGCTTATTCTGGGAGGAGCCCTAGTGGCAAGGTGGTTATGCGATAGACTGCTAACTGCAAGGTCAGCAGTCTCAGCCCAGCAGCTAGCTAGCTGCTCTGTGGGAGGAAGACCAGGCTTTCTGCTCCAGGCAAGCAGTAGAGTCTCAGAAACCCACAGGGGGAGTTCTACCTTGTCCTGCCTTGTCCAATTCCGCCTTGAGTTGGAATTGACTCAACGGCAGAGAGTAAAGAGTAAAATGCTAATTCACAACCTTGATATTGCGCCTTGGTAAGAGCAGCATAGGGCCACCACGACCAGAGATGGCCGCAGGGGTGGAAGCAGTGAATCTAAAATGCCCATGTGGATTTCAAGATTAATACAGTAAAAGTAGTAACAACACAGGAAAGAGTCCCAGCCAAGTGTTT